CCAGTTCTCCAGAATTTGGAAACAACTGCATTCCTTTTCAAAAACATCTGGGGTCGTTGAAGTTCTATCATATCAGACAGTTGAGTATTTTGATGGGCTGTACAGTATTATTTTTATCTGTAGTGTTATGAAACTATGTACACATGAGACACACATCAATGAAGGCAAATATATATTCACACATACTTATATAAAACGCACATACATACTCATATACATATGCAACAACATGATGGCAGGAAAATTGTACTTCAATGATTAAAATAGGTTTACACACAGACTGTCTCAGTTCCAGAAATCTTACAGCTTTGCACTTGAGTTTTAAAATAATGTCTCAGTTACAATAAGAAACCAAGAAATTCTTTCCATTGTCTACTTTTGTGAAGCTTCCTCTCCTCCAACAAACAAAATTCAATATTTTTAGTGTTTTTTTTTTTTTTTAAACTTTTCATAATAAAAACTTTGTCTTAATTTCTGTTTTTATTTAATGGATGCAAATATTTTGGACAAGGAGAATATTTGTCAAAAATTACAATGCAAAGATGAATGCATGCAAGCATATTTATAGTCTTGGCAAAAATACCTGAAATTATTATTAAATGCTGTTATGTAAAAAAAAAAAAATATATATATATATATATATATATATATATATATATATATATATATATATGGGTGTGTGTGCGTACATCACTGTTTTGACAGTCTAATAAAAATTAGAGAATTTTAATAGTTAGAAAACACTGTTTAAACATTAAAACATAATCCATATGATTGGCAAAAAAAAAAAAAATCTCATTAAGTGCAATGGAAAATCTTCAGTCAAAAGTGGGGGGAGGGGGAACTCCAACAAAATCCTTTCAAATTGCACATTTGAAAAAAAAGAAAATTAACTAAGTTACTAAAATCTAATCTGAGAATAAAAAACAATGTAATAATTCCCACAATTTAATTTTTTAAATACTAATTATTTTAGACTTACATTTTTTTTGTTTTTTAAAAGAACAAATTAAAACAAACTAAAGAACAAAAAAAAGTAACATTAAATTCATGGCCTTCTATCATATCTTAAGACCTTTTTCAAAATGTTCTTGGACTAAGCATACACATGTATAGTAAATTAACAAATGAAAGAATTAATGTTAACAAATAATACAAAAATTAAAAGTATCTGATATTTAGCCAGTCAGCATTTTATGTGAGAGTAATTAAAGAAAAGTAGTTAGAGACAAGGAGATACAAAAGAAATCTTTGGCCAAAAGCAGGAGTAATTTAAATAACATATCTTGAAAATCCAACAGAAAATCCATTTATATTTTGTCCCACACTTAATAATAAGCAGTTGAAAATCTTTGAAATTAGTTTAAAATTAGAAATGGGCTTAGAAAGACATCCCCTTCCTTTTTTCTACAAAACAATTCAAAGAGCAAAACAAATGCAAATAATTTTATCAGAAAAATAATTTTTTTTGTTTTTTTTTAATTAATCTTTTTATATTAAATTATGTTAACTATGGAATTTACAGAGGACAGTGTAATAGATTTTTATTTTTTTGTAAAAAATAAATTTGTTTCAAGGATATAAAGTAATAAGAAAAGAATCAGTTTCCTTGAGAGGTGATTACATTTCAAAATTTAGATATTCATTTTTTTTTTTTGTTATAGCAAAAATGTTGATTATGTGAATTATAGTTTTATGACAATACTATTGGCTACTTTGTAAATGTCCTAATATCATCCCAAAGAAAATATAAAATATATAAATGTTTGGAGGCCAAGTAAAGAATATATATAATAAACAGTAAATACTTGGGAGGCTAAAAGAGTTTTCCCAGAAAGAAATTCAAAATCACACATACATCAAAAGCATCTTTAAAGAGATTAACTGAGATACTGACTTTAAAAAAATAGATTAAAATAAAAAGATAAAAGTATAATTTGGCTTCCAAACAAATTAAAATAAATATCTGAAAAGTAAAAAAAAAAAAAAAAAATCCTTTTCAATTTTAATTTAGAGAAAAGGAAACCATTTTAATTATCTACTCTAGTTATTGTGTGTGTGTGTGTGTGTGTGTATATATATATATATATATATATATATATATATATATATATCTATATATAATAGAATGATTTTATATCAGAAATTGTTTTAACATTTTTTTCTTTCTGACATTTTAAAAATGGGGAAGAATGTAAGAAAAACCATATTAAATGGTAACTTTGTATCAAGTGAAATATTATAATACACTGATTTGTTTGGATGAATGACCTTATCTTGGTTGTTAGAGACAATATTTCGGCTGATGTACCCTCTGGCATCACCCCCTAATATTTTTGAACCAGACACTTTATTCAATCCAGGAGGTGAATTGTTCTTATTCTGCTGTCCATGCTAGAAGATATCTTTTATAATCCTACAGAATTCATTCATCCTTGTCATATTCTCTCTTCCACTGAACCAGAGTATAAGATTTTTGTTTTTCATTACCTGAGCCATGGATTGAATTAACGACTGCCAGGTAACGATCTGCTGAACCAACATTTTTATTCACTGGGTCACATTTTCTGAACAAATCAATGTATAATAACTAAGTCCTCATCTTAAATTTCAGACAAAAGTTAAAGATTAGGATCCATAGTTGCATTCTTGAAGAGGATTTTTTTCAGTTCATGGAATTAAAATTTCTTAGTCTATCGTAAAAAATGGCAGTGAAAGTATCTATTCCTGCTTCATTTCTCCATTTTTTTTTATCAATCTCATCAATATGATGTAAATTTGGCATCTTCTTGGATCTACATCGAAGCAAACACTTACACACACACACACACGCACGCTCATACAGAAAGAAACTTAGAACAATGTAGTTAAGAAAGATTTTGTTCCCTTAGAATATTTAAAAAAAAAAACTATTATCAATTATTGTAATAAGAACATCAATTCTGAAAGAATAAATGATCACAATGTAAGCACATCCTAATCAATGTTAGTTTGAGAATTGTTTGATATTTTTCTCATCAATTACATCCATCCATAAACAGCTATAAAATTTTAAAAATGGATTGAACCACCATGAATTAGAATTGAAGACTTTGAATTTTAATCTTAATTATTTTAAAACCAGGAAAAATATATTCAATAAAGTTCAAACTTTATACTTCAATATCTATCCTTTTGACCATTGAGTGGGTAGTTAAGGGGCTTTGATAGATATCTTGATCCTTGTTTAGCAGGATATTAAACTTCACTGAAGGCAATTTTCTTTGTAGTTTCAAATGAAGAAATTCTCTGAAGCAAAGAATCTTAAACTGAGATTAAGAATTAATGTCTATTCCAGGACATTTATCATTTTCCCAGAGGCTGATAAATGCAACAGACATGATGACCAAAACAGATCTCCGACAGGAGGCCAAAAACACTGAATGTAATTTTACCTTTAAATTGAAAAACAAAATGCTTTTAAAAATAAAATTTCTCCATACCATTTTTTTTTGTTTTTGATAAAAAAAAAAAAAAAAAATAACCTTGTACTCATCAGATGCAATTTACAATTCCAATTTTACGAATAGAAAAAAAAAAAAAAAGAAAAGTTTTCTCTTCAATTAGGTCTTCTATAAATTTAAAATATTGTAAAATACATTTTCATTACAATCACAAAATGAAAAATCATTCTTGTAAATTCTTACATAATATAGAAAATATTATAAAATTAAATATTAAAATATTTTCCCCAGATACTGAGAAATAAAAATGGTACAAAATTTGTGTGTGTGTGTGTGTGTGTGTGTAAATATAGAAAAAGACTTAGGTGTAAAAGAACATATCCTTTTTGTTTTATGTTTGATGCATTGTGAAGTTTTGAAAATTTTTAACAGAGAAAAGATGTAAAAAGTCATAGAAAGACAAAAGATTTACAGACTTTTAAAACCTGTGACATTTTTAAGTTGATTGATGATACTTAGTAGGTAAAGTTGATGGTATTCCTTTGATAGTGGAAAATGTAAAAAATTATATTTGAATAATTTTATATATTGCCTAAAAAAAAAAAAAAAAAAAATAGAAAAAAAAAAAGGATATTTTAAAAAGATGGATATATTCTATTTTTAGAAAACTTAATTTGTTCATAATATGCAAAACAACTTTTGATATAATAAACTGACAAATTTAAAATAAATTTTTGCTTCGAAAGTTGATAAAAATTAAAGACTCATGTTGGTAAAAATGTTGACAAAAAGGCAAGCATCTTGTTTTTCAATTATTTCACAGAAGACATAATATTCTGGGAAATTTTGTGAATGCAGAGAAAAAAAATGACACAGTCCATTGGCAAATGACTTTTATAGAAAAATCATTAAAAATAATGTGTGTGTGTGTGTGTGTGTGTGTGTGGTAACTCTGACAAAAATGTGTTTAATGAAGAAAAATCAATACAGATCCAAGTCAACCCACCTGATCACTTTCAGCTCATTTGTTTTTTGTTTTGTTTCCTTCAACATAGCTGCATAAACTGCAAACGTATTTTCTTTCTCTCCATCTAGTTTTTTGTAAAGCTTCAAATGTTTTTTGACCCACAATTTCCATCACAGATGTCAGTATCTTTCATGAAAACAAAGTCAACAAACTCAAACAGAAGTTTGTAAAAAAAAAAAAAAAAATGCCAACAGTTTTGGAGAGAAGATTTTTTTTTGTCTGTTTGAGTCAGTAAACTTGTTTCAAAGTCAACTTTTCCAATATATATATATATATATATATATATATATATATATATATATATATATATATATATATATATAATATAAATATATAAATAAAGTTCTTCATTAAAAAAAAAAAAAAGGAAGTCTTTCACAACATAATTTATACATATTTTCTTTTTTATCATTCAGAGTTTAAGTCCACAAAACAACCCCCCCTCCCCTGCCCCAATAATTACATCCCTGACAGCAGCTCATCCAGAGTTCATCTCCCTTCCCAGTTGTAAGATAATACAGCATACATTACTAGGGATGGTGATGGTGGTGGTGACTATAGTCTAGATAATTTGAAGAGGGTGTCACATGTACCCAGGGAAGTTCTTTTCGTTTATCTTTGTTTTTTGAAGATTTTGAGCGTTGACTGGCCTTGCTACGGAGACTGCGCCTATCAACAGTAGCGTAGATAGGGACAGTAGCAGTTTGGGCACTAGTACCAGCAGCCATGGTACCTCCTGTAGCCATTGCAGTTGCATAATAAGGAGGAATAGTAGCATCATTGATAAAGGTATCATAGCTTGGTGGTTTCTCTGAGCTGACCAGACTAGGTGGACCTCCATTAGTTGGGCCAAGACTCTCAAGACTGGTGGTGTGGTCTGTGCCGTGCCGTTGATGGTCTCTAAAACTACTCTGAGCTGGGCATTTGTAACGCATCTTGACAAACTCCATTTCATCATTCGCACTGGTAGCTATAACAGGGGATAAAAAAGAAGAAAAAGAGAACGAGAACAAAGGGTAAATATAAGATAATTAAAAAAAAAAAAAAAAAAAAATCAGGACAAGGATTAAAATGTTTCTAAAATTAAGAATGTCTATTATGATATTTTGAAAATTCACACAAGGATTTGAAATGATGCACAATGCTAACATTTTGTAATTTTGATCCCTTGTCAGTAAAAAATTCACAAAAGATTTTAAATTCTACATATTTTGTGTCATGGCTCAGAAAACATACTTACGTACTTGATATCGGTGGACATTCAGGAAATAAATTTAAATATCATTTGATTGAAAAATTAATAATACAATAATAAGATGGAAAACTGAAAATATCCAAATAAATTCATGGAATTTGCAATCCAACTTAATAATTAGCTCTTTTCAAATATACAAGATCCGTGTGGAAAGTACCCAGTCTGAAAATCTTGAGAACTAGTTGTGCATCCTTGATCTGACTTGGTAAGCAATTGGAAAGTGACTAAGAGTGCATGTATAAACAGACATTCCCCTCTAGGATAACACAATCCGCAAGGAGATTCTGGCTGAATGAGCTTGGGTGAACATTACATTCAGTGAATATGCCTCAAAATTTGCTTGAAACTTAGACATTAGCATGCAGGAAGTATTCAAAAGTAAAATTTTTGTACCAATGCTTCAGTCTTAGCAGAAAGTCAGCTGACAGCCATCCACATTCTGGAAAACACTCACCAAGCAGACTCTAGCCATTCTTCATACCTTGTGCATCTCTTTTCTTTGGCAAAACATCACACCCCCAGGTTGGTCAGCCCCTCCCCTAAACACAAACAAGAATCCAGATTTTGCTCACTGTGACCTTTAGCTTTTTCAAAAACTAAACTTACTGTTGAATTGGTGGAGGAGGTGATTTCACTTCATGGATGAGATTAAAGCAAATGTTATAAGTTTTTTTTTGAAAAGTGAAAGGGATGCTAAAAATAAGCTAATTTTCAGGGGGTTTGTTAACTCAGCAATGCTCTATTTTTTCTTTAATGTTAAATGGCAGAATCAGCTGGATATAAATTTGGTATATTTTAAATTTATATTTTTATTTTCTCTCTCCATATACAGTGGTTCAAAATAAAAGAATCTTAAAAATACAAGAGAACAGTTAAAATGATGAATATTTCATACCAGATGAACTGAAATTCTTTGGTGACGTGCAGCTATTTGACTATTGTATAATTGTTTGGATGGCACCAAAAATATTCAGACTGATTGGTATACACACATGACAGGTATAATCATGAGTGAGCAATGACAGGGCCCCCTGCAACTTTGTTTTCTTCAAGTTGTGCATCAAATCAGAATCCTGTAATCAAGTGTTTGCACACTGATAATTATTTGGAATCATTGACTTGCTATGAATAAGATCAAATGATTGGAGTCAAACAATTGTTGGCTTCGTCTCTGGAATTTATCTGCACACACAGTTACAGTGAGAATTTGACTGATAAAAGAAAAACAGTTTCAGCTAAACAATTTTATTTTAAATATCCACCAACTACTTTGTTAAAATGAATTATTCAGATATATCCCTGATGTTATAGAATAGGATTTCCTGTTGAGAGAAATCATTTCCAGTCACACTTGAACAAATTTTATTTACACATTAAAAGCAAACAAAATTGTTTTCTTGTTGCCTCTTAAGCTACAGGAGTTGGTTGTATTCTGGCCTCTGATTGTGGAGTGGCTTTGTTAATAAAAGAATATGTTACAATTACAAACAAAAAAAATTTCCATATTTCTCTATGGACTATTTTCAACTGATGGTAAAAGTGTTTAGTTCTCTGAAATCTTCAAAGCACTGCACACAGTAAAAAAATAATAAAATAACTTTAAAGTTAAATGTACTAAAGACAAACAACAAATAGACATTGAAAAAAGATTGATATATAAGTGAATACATGCAAAAGGTGTAATGACAGAAGCAAAAGAAAATGTTTTAGATGCAAAAGAAAAAAAAAAAAAAAAAAAAAAGGATCCATGCTGTATAGGAAACCTGTTCAGAGTGAGAAAGAAACATTCACTTAATGCAAAAGTCAAATGTTATTTTGATTCTATATTTCTTTTGGGATGCATGCAATAATTGAAGAATTTCTGGGACTGGCTCAATTCTAGTCCTAAAAAGAAATGAAAGCCCTGAAACATAAGGGCTATAAACATACTGCAATCATCTTGGATACAGGAAAAACAAAACTAAACATTAAGATTACCAAAAAGGTTAGAGAAAATTTTATAGAATAGAGAAGTAAAACAAGAAATACAACACAAAGTCAAGATACCAGTTATTTTGAGGAAAAGAGGGAAAAAAATTATTTTAATCTTTTATTAAAGATCACAACAATTTCTTCACAGAGTCCAGGAGGCAACATACCCACAGCAGTTCATTAAGTTTATAGAAAAGGTTTTGTTATGCATGAGTTAAGAACTAATTTAGGTGTCTACAAAGATGTTTCTATTACTTTGCAATTAAAGAACACTTAATGACAATGTGTCTTAAAGCATACAAAACAACGATATGGATTTAAACAATTTTTGATTCATTGGACCTGATATTCTCAAATGCTCATTTACTCAATAAAAAGTGGAAATTAGGATTACACCAACATGATATGTAAGTACAGAAATGAAAATTAGTAACTACCTAGATGACAAAATCAGGTCTAGAATTTAATGTTTATGATATAAAATATACCTATATATTACACCATAGTTATATTTTAAAAAAAAGAAAAAGAAAAAAGAAAAAAGTAATTGAAATAAGAAATCAATTAAAAGTAGATAATAGTTGCTGGCATAAGAATTCTTAAAAAAATAACAAAAACAAAAAAATTAATTCACTGAAGTCAGCTGGAATTTAATTTGTAACATTATTAAAATGATTCTTGATATTTTTTTAGGGTCTCTGTATAGAAATCATGTTTGATTAAATATTCTCTCCAGCACTGCTAAAATGTACACAAGTAAACAATATTTTTAAAAAAAATTTTGTACACAGATATTGTAAAGAACAAAAAAAGAAAGAAAATTCATCAAGATTTTAAATAACTTCTCTACACATGATCCATTCTGCTTCAGCAAAGACAAAATAATTTTTAAGTATCAATATTAATGTGATTACAGTCTGAAGTATACATTTTTTTTTTTTTAAAAACTTTAAATTCATAATGATTATTGAATATCAAAGAACCAACAAATGTACTAATGTATCTGGAAGATCACTTGCAGTAAATGGAAAATCTAAAATAGAAATTTGGGTATTATTAAAATATATGGTAAAGGCTATGACACACACAACTTCAAAGTAAACAATCGATAATTCCTTTTTCATGAATTGAATTTTCAAATTTGTAACCAGTATAACATGATTTTCATTTAAAATATTAGTTAAAAATGTTTTTGGAATTAAATTTTTTTTACATTAGTAACTTTGAGAAATTCCTTGAGATATCATTTTGATTCTCTATACATTAAAATGAAATCTACAATAATTAAAACCAGATAAATGAAAATTTTGAAAGAAAAAAAAAGAAAAACTGTGTGAGAGAGAGACTAGAATAGGCTGATAAAACTTAAAGCACCTTTTATAAGATCTAAAATACGGCATTAGAATTAGAATCCTGAACAAGAAAAATTTCAAACAAACAAATAAAAGATTATTCAACTATTAAATGCTTTGTTACATATAAAAGACAGATTTTCAATGAACAAAAATACAAGATAGAAAATGTTTGATGAAAGAATGTAAAATCTGATAAGCAGCAAGAGTAAAGAATGCGAAAATATGCAGCAACAAGCAATTCACATATAAAATGCAGCTAACTAGCATTCGATAGAATTATAGTTTGAATAAACATTGACAGGAATTAGCTATCGAGGCAAAAAAGATAAATTAGCAATATGCAATAATTACTTCATACATTCAACATTGTAATTCCTAACATTTTGCCATCAAACTTAGGAATGACCAAAAGAAAAAGAAAAAAATATCTCCTAAATGCAATTGAAATGACATTTATTGAACAATACAACAAGGAACAGCAAAATCACTATATTTCCATACAGGTACTCATCACCATCTTTAATTTCCTTCTTTAATTTTAAATGATTAATTAGGCAAATGTAGACATTTAAAATAAAGACCATTATAGATGACACCCAAAATAAGGAATATGGTCAGTGTTTATAATGACGAACTATACTGATGCTTAATTTTAAAGCTAAAATAAGTTAGGCTTTAATAATATATATATATATATATATATATATATATATATATATATATATATATATATATACACACACACACACACACACACACACACACACACACACAAGATAATGCCCTAAAAAATTAAAATTTCTTTAAATTTATGTTTTAATCACCAAAATTAGTTCTATGCTAAGTTTTTCTCTTGGATTTCTTGCCTGTGGAACTCTCGTATGGTTTCTTGGTTTTCCTCAAAGATTTAAATGCAATGTCAATTATTATCTTCTGCTTTAATTCCTGTTCATTTATTGTTCTCTTTCCTTAATGTTTTTTTTCTTCTTATTTTCTCATATTCTTTCACATTCAGTAACCTCTTGTGCCTTAGTGACTATTGCCTTGTTTGGGGTGAAAAGGTTAAGAAGAAAAAGACAAATTTGTCAAAATTTGAGTTTTTCTATAAATTGATTCTCAATAAATTAAGTAGTAAAGTTCAAGTGATTTATCTGATTAGCTGACTCCTGGATTTCAAGTCAAAACACTAACCAGAGCCAGTTGTTTAATAAATAAATTTTAATTTATTGAACTTCTGGCACTGATGAGTGTTTAGATGCAAAACTCTTGATTCAGCCAACCATTTGAACTTTTAATTTATTGAATATTATAGCTCTAGTTATCTATTGAGCACTTTTTGGCAGAAGTTTTTACAAATTGAAAAGCACATGAAATTCACGTATTTTCTCA